GTTCGGTAATCGGGCCCAATCAATTTCCAGTCTTTCTATTAACTTTGATTGGGTTCGTTAATGGAACTTAATCGAACTCACCCAAAACTTTTACCAGTCAAACGCAATCGAACCCTACAACAATCGAACATAAAACCACTTTCGATCCATCTGGTTTCAAACAAGGCGTTGTCTTCAACTAAGTTATGCATTGGCTTCAATTTAAAACACGAGCTCAGTATGTTGCTTAGTATCCGATCTTTCCTTTAATTAGTCGGAAGAGTTTTTGGCCCAGAGACATTCAATTTAGTCCTAAATATGACGAACAACAGTTTCAATTCTAAAATATATCTCAACAGGTAAGCGACTTATAGGATCCTCTTCCTCTCGCAAAGTAGTTTGGCATTCGATTCTGGAAATATATATCGGCGTGGGAACCTAGCATCGTGAAAAACATTATAAATGACTGGGATATGGTGGAGAACTGTCAGAACTATGCGAGCGGCTGATCTGGGTTGGAACTGTGAGAAAATTTCAGTTTTGCTCTAATAAATTAAAGTCAAACTTCCATGTGCGACCACCTCCCACCCCAAATTTTCCCAGTCAAAGCCTTACATGTACAGTTGGAACCTTTAGTAAACGACCACCTCCTGTAAGCGACCGCGAAAACTTTTTGGGCCTGATTGTTAATGATTTTTCCTTGTTTTTAACCTCTTGTAAGCAACCACTTCACGCATTCTCTGATCTCTATGTTCGTTGTGTGCACTATGCTACTTAGAATATACAAAGAACTTTAGTGACAACATGGAACAACACGCAAAGTAAATGTGCCTGGACCTCTTCTCGGAAAAGGCTCCCTGTGGTTCGATTCTTGTAAAGTGAACGCTAAACTACAAGCATTCTCTTTTCTTGGTCCTTCGAGCAAAATGGGCTTATGGCTGGTTAATATAGTGTGATGACGTCAGTCAGGTCGTCGTACACGTCAGTCAGGTCGTCGTACACGAGACATAAGCCGCAAAATGCGCAGACACGCGTGACTGAAGGGGCGACACGGGAAAAGGAAAGTTCAATGTCCAAACAAGAATGTTGATGATTGCGTTGCAAGCATATCGCACTCTGCATCACAACACACACACACCAAGCATTCGATGCTACAAAGGTTGAGGTAGAACACACAAACGAATGTCGAATGTGAATAGTATTTGAAATGTATATGTTGAATTGTCAATGCGTAATGTTGAATTAAAGAAGTTGAATATTGGATTTTGAAATATGGGTGTTGACTTGTGAATGACAATGAAACAAGAATGTTGGATTGCGATGCCACACGGATAGAATACACAAACGAATGTCGTATGTGAATATCAGTAAATAGTATTTGAAATATGGATGTTGAATAGCACGTTCGATACATACATACATACATACATACATACATACATACAAGTTTTTATTTGGAGTCTTATACAATAAATAGTATATATATCAGCAATTTCCAAACAACTAAATTACAAACAACAAAAATTCCTAACCACATATGACTAATAAGTTATTAAGGAATTAAGTCATAGAGTATTTACTTTTTTCCGTCTTCCCCTTTCCTTTTTTCAAAGCATTCGAATACATGTTTTGCTATTAGTTTTTGTATTTTAGCATTTCCTTTAGGGGGGGTTTATTAGAAACGTGAATATTTTGTTGGATGACATTCTGCTTATTTTTATTCTATATCCTTTTTCAAATAATCTAGTAACGAACACTTTTTTCGTGGTAAGCAGAGCATATATCTAGAAAATGGTATTCGTCCTCCATTTCTATTTTACAAATTGGGCAAATTCTTTCTGCAGGTTTCTTAAACGGTCTCGAATAACGTCTTGTATCTATAGCTAATTTATGGTTGCTAAGTCGCAGTTTTGTTAGAGCTATTCTGTTTCGCATATTGGTGACCTGATGTAGGTAATCTTCACATTTGTAATTGTCTATTGTTTTGAATAACCGGTAGGTTCTCATTTTGTTGATTTGGTTAGCATCTTTTCTGGTTTCGTTATTTACAGGATGTCCCAAAAGTTTGTTCCTCTATTTTGATGCACTGTAACTTTTGATCAAAACTTTATTTTTACATGAAATTTCTTAATTATAAAGATGTTTATTTGTCTGTTGAGTACATGTATTCAGAATTTCAGTAACTGTCATGCCCTTTTTGTTTTTTTTATTACATTCTGCAGCCGTTGCGGCATGGAGTGGGATACAGCGTGTAGACCTACAGATGATCCATTTTGAGCTTTTTTATCACCTGGGAGCCAGTACAACACCCAAACAATATTTGTTTAGTTTAGGCAGCTGAAAAAATAATATATTGGGCATTTATCCAAAAAGATAATCATCCGTGCCCCCTTCCACAACAAGGCTTTTGTTCTTCTTTACAAATTTGAGACGAGTTGTGCGTTACTTGGTAGACTAAACAGAGGTTTTTTTGCCATCTCAGGGGCCTCTAATAATTTTAAACATTCGCTTTTCATGACCATTCATGGACTTGGCTTGTTAACCATGAGAGAACTTGCTCGTTAAGTCTCCCATTTTGTATCTAGCCTTCTTTAAAAATATTTTGGGTGCTTTATTCAGGACTTTGGGTCTTCCCCTTCGTTTCTTGCCTTCAAAACCTTCATTTCTCCATGATCATTTTACCACCCACCATTTGGATTTTTCCAATTTTTTAGCAGTTTCTACAACAGATAAGCCAGTAAATCGAAGTATACATGCTTATGCTCTCACGTAGCTGAACGTTTTTGCGTTAAGGGGGTTTATCTTTCGTGATATTTACAAAAACAAGGAAGGAGTTCGATCAATTAGGGCTATGAAATGCAAAAAATATGTGGCTGGAAAATATACTCGCGCACGCGCACCCTTGGCGCGGAAGTACACAAATCCAATATTCGAGTCAAAAGATGGCACAACAAGTATGAAAATAGTGAATTAGGTTGACAGACACAACTTTTGTTTAAATGATTTGCTTACCAAGTCCAATCGTACTGAAGTACAGACTTTATACCAGAGGAAGGAACTTTTGGGACACCCTGTATTTCACAGAGCCATCTTTGTAGTTCGATATCCTTAAGTCGTTGCCTGATCATGTTTACGATTCGATCCTATCTCCGCATAGTGTGCTTTCATCCAGAATTCTCCTAATCCTATCTGTTAAGATAAGCTTTAGATTTGTTTGCTCCAGAAAGCTTTATTTTCATACCATTTAATGACATTGTATGCTATTTGGGATAATTTGTTTTCATATTTGGTTAAGGTTAACCAGAACTTAAAGTTCCTACATTGGGCTTCAATTCTCATTGGAAACCTTCCTGTCTCAGCCCTGGAATTTATTTTGAACTAATTCTGCTGGATCCTTTTTTAATTATCCATTGCAATCAATCCCCCACACTTCACTCGCATAAAAGCGTATGGGAGATAGCAGTGCGTCAAATAACTTCATCGTTAATTTTATATTTTCTCTGAAGTGGTTTCCCATCTCTTTTCGTATTTATAGAGTGCTTTAAGTGCAACTTTCTTCAACTCTTGCCAAGCGAGATTAAGGTTTCCATCATTATAAGGACTCATTATTAGTTCAAGATATTTGTAGTATTTGACGTTTTCCAGTTTATCAGCGCCGTATCTGAACAAGTAGTTGTTTATCGACTTACCACAGTTATTAAAAATCATAATTTTTGACTCTCTAAATTTACACTTAAATCGGCATTTTCACAGAAAGAGTCCAGTTTATTAAGGATTATATTTGAAGGCTTTTTGCTGATATAGAAAAGATCACTAGATCGTCAGCGTATAAGAGACAATTTATAGATTTATCACTTAGCATAATGCCGGTTGAACTCGCTGTATTTAGGAAATTTGGGAGATCACTTACCTGATGAACGGCTTTGAAAAACTGTTAAGCTGGGACAATTTTTGAAAAACCGCAATTGCAATGAGGCTTCTTTAATCTTCTTCGATGACGTTTGTTTGTCTATCCGCGCCTCCTTTTTCATGAGTTATTTATACACCCTTTTTATGTTTGGAGGTGCTATTTTTATATTTTTCTCAATTCTTGGCTTGCAACCAAGTGACAAGGCGGCCATGTTGGCACCAACATGGTCGCCGTGACGTCATGTGCAAACCAGCAATTTGGTGGCAGCTCTCACTATTTGAATTTTGATAAATTCCGTGACACAGCTCCTTTAAGTTAACCCTGTAAGTCCGGAGACTGACCAAAATAAATTTTCTCCTAACAATATCCACACATTTTCAAGAGATTAGGTTATGAGAAGTAATAAAATGAACCACAAAAAGAAAATGCCTTGATCATTTATCAAATTCTCTCAACTCCTTCCTTAAGGAAATTTATGGAGATCAGTTTGGTGAACTTGTATGTGGATGTTGGGCTTAAAGGGTGAAGCATATAGCCTCCCACGGAGACGTTCAGTTCTTAGGGGTTCGTCACGCGTTCCTGCCCCACCAACGTCTGCTGAAACGAAAAGCCCCTTCCGTTCTTTGGCTGTTTGCTTTTGTTTTAAAGAAACCAATCAGCATTGACTAATTGTGACGCGTTAAGCCAATCACATGCTGTGAAGGAAGGGAAATCGACACGTGTGGTTTACCTCTGGAGTAAATTTCGCGATAACTAAAATAACCAAACCAAAATATCCATCTGTTTTAGTAAGGATATGGTTTCATTTTTGATTCAGTGCCATTGACGCTAAAGGCCTAATCAAAACCGTGATTGACGAGCGATCTTTTCATCTGCGAGGCGCGAGGCCTGCACATGTTTTCCATCGTTGAGTACAAACTTTACCAATCCGATATTTGCCCTCTACGGAAAAAGATACAAATAACCGTAAATTTATAAGTACACTGAAAGTCTGAAAGGGATTTTCTCGTTAGACTGATATGTAAAATCCCATACCGTCTGTGAAATCGGCCTGTCACCCCTTGCAGGATTAACTTCAAACAGCTTCTTACATCCCAGTGCATTTTCTTCACTGATATCATTAAGCGAAGCGACAAGAATATCAAGATTTGCCTGCTTATCGACCTTGTCTTTGATACTATTTACAAGCGGCGAAACCACAACAACAACATGGCAAGAATCTTTAAAAACTGAGTCGAAAACAAACCGTAAAGCTTGCTAAATAAGCGACCTTGCACATCCAGTTAAAAGATTTACAAACAGATCAATCTTCTTCTACAAAAATTGGGCCATGGCTTTTGTTTGGAACGGTTTCAACGCCCTAATACCAAACGTTTCGGACATCAACACTGCACCTAACCTTTTTCAGTAAGGATTCTGGTCCCGGGTAATATTTTTAATAACAAACGCGAGTTTACCCAAAGTTGGAAAACGGCCTTTGATTGGTCCGTATCTACGAACGAAAGTGGCTCTTCGTTTCACCAGACGTTAGTGGGGCAGCAACGCGTGACGAACCCCTAAGAACGTCTGCGTGGGAGGCTATTAAGCATAAAAGTCGCCTGTAGAAGCCAAGCGGCGCCCCACTGACTTTTGTGGGGCAGGAACGCGTGACGAGCCCCTAAGAACGTCTGCGTGGCAGGCCTCCGAAAGTCTTGAGGAAAGGTAATATCCTTTGCAGTAAACTGAGGTAAAGATTTCTTCTTTTTCTCTTTATCGTTAGCTTTAGCTCTTGAATGCTACGAGTGTGGCCTTCCGGGATCCAACTGCAGTAGTAATCGTTTGGGCAAGGTGACATGTGGAGTGTATTTCAATCGCTGTGTCACCATTAAGTACACAATGGATGTGGGATTTGGGCCGATGTCAGTGCAGATGAGAAACTGTTCAAATAGCATGGCTTGTGACCCACAAAGCGGCCTGTACAGTAAGTGTAAACCTTTGGTATATCGATCCCAAGCAATACATTATAAACATGCTCTATCCCAGCTCAATGATTTCTCTTTGGAAGTACCAGTGTTTTTTTTCACACGGTTAACTCAGAAATTCACATTCCCTCCATAAATGTAAGGTACATTCCACTAAGCTTCGAATAGGACTGACCTATTGCTAACCATATCTTTTGTGTAAAACAGAATAAAATGGTCTGTTATGTTCCTTATCCCTAGGACGTACAGGGTTTGGGGGGGGTGCGAGGGTGGATGCTATACTCCTTATCCCTAGGACGTACAGTGGAGGGGGAGGGGTGCAAGGATGGATGCTACTCTCGGGCACCGTATCCATATTAGAAGCAGTTCGTTTATTACTGAGACACATGTACTCAAAAAAATAGTCCGCCATGTTGAATGACGTCACCGGCCCCTGGCAGCGCCATTTGCATATGTATCCGATAATGTTTACATCATCTTTTAGATGACATCGCACTGGGGTTGTTTATCAAGAGTAGAGGGGTGAGGGAGGGTGGGTCGCACGAACAAACTTGAAAATCCTGTTCTTGTTCTCTTTTCTGGTGTATGAGTTCGCATGTACGTCCGATGTTTTGGACATACAGTGATATTTGCTCTGTTTGGTAGCTGTTTGTTGGCGCTGCATTGCACAGCTTATTTTCATCCGGATACACTTTTGATTCTTTTTTGCAGCGTGCACTTTGGTGAATATCACCGGACTCCTAACAAGTTGCGAGCTAGCTTGTTGCCAGGATAACTTGTGTGATCCTTTCAAACTAGCTTCTTCGACCGCATCAGTCCCGGCATCAGCCGGCCCGGCATCAGTCACGGCATCAGCCCCAGCACCATCCCCGTCATCAACCCCGACAAGTGCTTCGGTTGCGTTGGTTGCAAATGTTTGTGCCATATTGTTGGCTAATGTCCTGATTATATTTGCACAGTTTCACTAAAGCGTGCGTGTTAGCCTGCGAGCAAGCTCTCCATTTATGTCCAGCCGCGAGAGACCGCGCGAGTTAGTGGCGTTGCGTCTCCTTACACGTGCTGCTCTCGCGACTCCCCCAAAAGGATGGGCTTGCTCTCATGCGACATGCACGTTAGCTTAGCATTATGCTCGATATTATTGATTGTGTTATTCGCTTCTTTTTTAAAAACTAGATTTTGGTTTTGTTAGTTTTGAGTAGTAGCATGCACTTTTTGTGATGTTTTACAATAAATGATGTTTTTACATGGCTTGGTCTGCGATTTTTGTGCCTTTCAATGACAGACATCACAAGGACAAGTTATCCTGCCTAGCAGGCGCTTGGAAGTGATGGGCATAAAAAAGAACGGGGCGCGCGAGGAAAACACTCGAGGGGAGAAGGAGTCGCGTGTCTCTCTTGTGCTCCCCGTTCTTTCTGAGGCTTGAGGCAGAGGCTTGTGAAATTAACACACTTAAACATGGCCGTCCTAAATCCAACCACGCGACAGCAACGAGAACGTGGCTTAAAAGTGAATTTGCCTTCTTTCAGTCTTTAACGCGGTTGTTCATACTTACTTACTTTGTCAAATGTTCGGGAAGCCTGGATTTGAATTCCAAGGGACCATATTCAACCTCAACAAGTCAAATTGAAATTTTTTTGGTATTTTGAATAGAAATCTTATATGAATTTTCCCCAATTCTGGACAGAATAATCCATGGGTACAGTCTCTTTACCAGGGGGTAGTTTTTCCAACATCTTCTAATTTAGCATCAAACAAAACTATTTCTAGGAACTAAAAAGGTGACCGGCTGTGTATATTTATAGTAAACAAAACCGAAAAAAGAAGAACTTTCCTGCTACAGTATTGCTTATAAAAAAAACCCTCAGTCGGCTCGTGTGTAGCCTGTACACAGACGTTGGTTTATTTTTCTTTTCGATAATCGGCGAGAAAATACAGGGTCTGTGAACAGGCTGCTCGTGCGCAGGCATTTAAGTAGGGGCCTTTGGAACTGAGGACGAGGAAGGCCGGCTAAATCCCGTAGTAGAATGATGACGGCTATCATTTTCCCGCCGAAATAACGCTGGTTCATATGCGCGCACTACTTAACAATTAATGAATGAGGCTGAGTATCTTATGAAGAATTATGGAGCGGATAACACCCTCCGAGAACTCCATAATTCTTCATAGATACGAAAGCCGAATTCAATAGTTGTTTTATTATTCATTCAAAATAATTCCTAGTTTAAAAACATGGCTAAACATGCTTACCTCCATCGATCCATCGATGTTAAGTTCATCTTCGATAGTGCACGTTTAGGGTTGTTCAGCTCCGCAAATATTCTCCAAATAGCAGATGTCGCCCTTCGAGTTGTCTTCTTGTTGTTCTTTCCATGTTTTTAGCAATTTTTTCGCCTAGTTCTTACTCTTGAAACGAGTGAAATGTCTGCCATTTTTCGAGTTCACAACCAAAACAACTCAACCTTGTCCCCAGGTCTTCTTGGTTAACGGTACATTAACCTGTAGAAGGCTGCATTTTTGACGTCATTTCCTCGTTAAACACACAAAATTCTTCCAAATTTGGTCATCAGTAAGTGGTTAGGGTGAATTATGCGCGTGCTTTGAGCCAATCAGAACTGCAGAAATATTTTGAATGAATAACAATTTCATTTATGGAATCTTGGGGGGTATACGCTTGACCTAGCTTGACTGAAAGTTTGAGTAATTGATCCTCATATCTCATCATAAGGCCTCGAGATGATTTTGTACCATTTGGAGTCGTCAGCAAAAATTGCTATTTTAGAGTCATGTTGGATGCATTGTGGGAAAGAAAAACAGATTGACTTTAATGTACAAATTTAGTCATAATCTAGTTGACATAAACACAGAAGAACACTTAATACCAAACAGTGAATTAAGACCACACAACAGCCATGCTTTTAAGTATAGATTGCCAAAAGTTTCTAAGGACGTCTTTAAGTTTTCCTTTTTTCCGAGATCAATAACAGAGTGGAACTCGCTGCCCGCTGACTTAGTAAATTGCAAGTCATTATCTGATTTTAAGTTAAATTTGGGAAAGCACGTGAAATAAGTGAAGTAAATTATAATTTTGAATTATCATCTTTTTATTTTGTTATTTGACATATTTACTTTTATTCATCTTCTGCATATGTACATATATATATATATATATATATATGTACATATGCAGAAGATGAATAAAAGTAAATATGTCAAATAACAAAATAAATATAAATAAAAAAATATATATATATATATATATATAAATATAAATATTGGGAGTAGGAAAAAACCTACACTTTCATCCCTACAAGCCTGTTTCGTGATCTCTCACTCTTAGACTTCCTATATATATATATATATATATATATATATATATATATATATATATATATATATATATATATATATATATAGACCAGTAGGTGAACTACTCAAATCCTGAGTACATGGGTGTTTAATACAAGCCTGTTTCGTAGGCCACCGAAAAGGTGACCCACTCTTCAGTTAAACTCCATGATTTGAGTAGTTCACCTACTGGTCTATTCCGCTCCTTCACTGCAAGTAGAGCACTGTCTTGGCTTCGCCGGTGAACATCTAACTAAATATATATATATATATATATATATATATATATATATATATATATTATTTTAGCTTTTATTACAGTTGATGTGATGTCTTACAAGATTTTATCAACTTAATAAAATGTAGATGTAGATAAGCAAGAAAGAGTAGCCGGCCCAATATGGAGCCTTGAGGTACTCCAGAATTAACTTATAGTCAGTTGGAATAGGTAGCTCTGGAACCACCGTCTCAACTGGCTGGATATGCCAAAGCAAGACAACTTGTCGATCAAGGCTGAGAGGGGGACTTTGTCGTATGCTCTGGCAAAGTCTTAATAAATCACATCAGTCTCTTTGCCTTCAGCTAAGGCATTAATGACTTCGTGACAGACTTGAAGAAGCTGAGTGACAGTGGACCTTTCTCTGAAAAATCCGTGTTGCATAAGGTGATATAGCTGAAACGAAATGTGTGGAAAACAGTGATTGAAAACACATCTTTAATTCGAAGTATTTGGACAAGATGGATAATGAAGGAATTCGGGACGATAGTTTTTGGCTAGCGTTGGGTCATCTTGCTCGCAGGTTGTCTTCGTTGTATAAAACTCAACGATTGCATTTAAAGCCTGAAATATAATAAAATATCAAAGTTATGATAAAAGGAAACCTGCGGAGGTTAAAAATCTAAACCTATTTACACGTAAAAAGATGTATGTACATGATAACAGAATAAAAATTTTGCTTGTAACATAGGGTCTCAAGTTAATTATTACAAAGCATGCAATTGCTACAGCCATCCTCGATTAAGGCAGTCAGGTCTGTTCTCCTAATTTTAGTCTCGAAACTGCGCAGACTATCCTCGGCACGTAGTTCTTTTGTAAGTTTTGACCAGAGGAAAGGGCCATAGTATCTTAATGAAAGCTTTCCATATTAAATCATATTAAAACGAGGCCGGTTGAAATTCGAATTTCTTAACGAATATCTCCTGTCACTGTCTGCTTTCAGTATGAAAAGTTCCTGTATTTGACTTGGAAGTTGATTCTTCTTTGCCTTAAACATGAGAATCGCAATTTCCCGAAGCCTTCTGTTGACAAGTGAAGGGAGTTCAGCCAGCCTCAGCAGTTCGTCGTAGGAGACTGACTCATTGTTGAAAACCGCTCTAAGGGCTGTCTCCTATAATCTTTCAACTTTACGTTTGTCTGAGGTTCTGCATGCAGAAAAACCAAATGGTGTTGCAGTAAGTCAAGTGAGGCAATATGACAGCTTTGTTTAGTTGTAATTTTAGCATGAGTGGGTATAAGTTTCCTTAGACGTCTTAAAAATCCTATCTGTTGGCTAGCCTTTTTGCAAACAAAGCTAATGTGCTCACTAAAATTAAGTTCAGAGTCCAGGAATACACAAAACAATTTGATAGATTTCAATTGTTTTATGTTAACCGCATCTATATGCAGGTTTATATTATTTGTCTCAGATTCAGCACCCAGTTCCATGATTGATGTTTCTGAACATTCACTTGTAGCAGGTTTTCCTTGTACCATCTAGTGATCTTACTACCTTCACTCAGCAGCAGCAGTTTGCCCTCAACGATACTAGTAAATGAGCCCGAGGCAAAGATTTGATGATCGTCTGCATACATAGAAATTTCCTCCTCAGTTATATAAGCAAGATCATTTTGAAATGAGTTCCACAAAAGGGTACCAAACGAAGACCCCTGAGGACAACCTCTTATTGTATTTCTCCACTGACTGGTCACAGAACCCAGCTTGACCCTGTTTTGTCTGTGAGAGAAATACGAGCGCAAAAGGTTAAGGGCAGATCCTGAAAAGTTGTATGATTCCAGTTTCTTAATAAGTAGTGGTGGGCTAACAGAATCAAATGCCTTACTCATGTCTTAGGATAATGCTCCCAAACTTGTCTACTGTCTAGATCCATCTTCCATTTCTCAACTGTTGTGTTGAAAATAAGCTTGCCTTCCCGGGACAAACCAATAAAATCGCTATCATTTAATACCGGCTATGAAAAAGTGCAACATCTTTTAAGGTACGGAAAAACGGGCAACAAAAAAGGTAGAAAAGAAAGCAGCAAGGCTGATTTTACGGACGGGAATAATATATTTCTTTTACCAATATTTCGGAAGGCACGGCCTTCCTTCTTCCTGGGTCTTACATACAATGATAACTAGTGATAAGACAAAGCTAAGAAGTTACAATTTGAAACGAAGAATAGCGCGCATTCGATACTATAAAACGTGCAACTTGTGCAACATTGCTGCAAAACGCGTTGAATAGCGATGTTGCGCGTTTGACCACTCAAGTTCAAACTTGTTAACAACTTGACCGCGGCAGGATAAGCTCAGTCGGTAGAGCGCTTGACTGCAGAGCAGGAGGTCGCGGGTTCGATTCCCGGAG